TCTGCGGCGTCTGACACATTCAGCCGGCAGCCGCACGAGCACCGCGGGAGGACAGGACACAGGTCAGTAAGCCGATCGCGATCTACCAGTGTTCGCTTTGCTATCTACCTAATGGGCACCGCTGCCCTAATGCATTTAACACAACGCAGAATTAATAAAAATGTGGGGAGGTAAGCTTTAGAATCTTCAGCATCAGAATAAGATGGATAAAAACTATTTATGAAATCTTTCTTCTTACCTTCACTCGAAAAAGCTTTCATATCATATACATTTTCACCAGGGATTTTCAGTATCACACCGCTGCGCCAAATAGCAGCTTGCATTGCGAAAGAAAGGCGCAATAACACCTTCTATATCTGTAGACAGTAACTGTGGGAAAAGACAGTAGATATTTCAATAAATGAACAAAGCACCGCACAATTCCATGATAGAAAGCTCAATTCACTAAAGTGAAACACCAGGATTAGGATTCTAACAACTTTTAGCTGATGAAGGGATTTGCTTTATTACAAACACTATGCAGCATGTATATCTGTGGGGGAGAGGTAAGGATTTAGGGCTAGTTCACACCACAAGCAGTGCATTCCGGCCCGATTTGGTGCCGGAACGCACTGGATCGCATCCCCCCTGCGTTCAGGGGCGTGGCAATGCACTGAAGTCAATGACACTGCAGCCATGCCTTCCGGCCACAGTGCAATCGCCCGCACCCGAACGCATGGCACATCAATTCTGGAAAAATGCTGCATGCACTGATGTGCTATGCATTCAGGTGTGGGCGATTGCACTGCAGCCGTGGGGCATGACTGCAGTGCTATTGACTTCAATGCAGTGCCATGCCCACCCAAAACAAATTGAGCCGGCTGGGATGCGATCCAGTGCGTTTCTGCACCAAATCAGGCCGGTGTGAACTAGCCCTTAAAATGTAGTTTTATTTTAGACTACTTCAAGTTCCCCACGCATGTTACAATCTCCTTTAGATCTAACAACAACTATGTAGTCTGGTTGGATGCAGATTGATTGGGTAGGTCCACCATTAGTGATGTGCGGGGGCTTGGTGTGAACATGTCAGATAAAACCAACCAGTCTGCACCTCAAGTGAATACACAAGAGGCTGATCACCGGAAACTGAAGAGGGCAGAGCACAGCAAACATCCATAATAAAGTGCAGGGTTATAGGAAACACCATGTGATAATAAATTCAGAGAATTTCCAGAAATTAGCCTGTACAGGTCTGTAATAAGGAGCCATTGACAGTATCAATGTATCAAACCATGGCACTCACATAATGTACTGGAAGACTTCTGGATCTTTTGTCTAAACCATAATGGAGAGCAATGCATCCCCCAAGCTGTATAAACTATGGTGATCTCCCTTATACTGACGTGCCTGGACGTTTATTATTTCCAGCAAAGCATATCCTCCCATAAGCAGGTTAAGCCGCAGTAACGTGAATGCACCTTATTGTTCAAGCATTCACCACACGTTTCCATACAATGCAGGTTCAGCTCCCTGTCATTATACGATAGCACAGACATAAATACACCTTTAGAAGGGTGCTAATGACAGGTGCCTGCAGTCGTACGTAATGTCAGATACGTGTGTCACTAAAAACAAGGCAATTTCAACGCTCTTACCTCAGCTTTTCTCTCCTGTGGCCGCCGCCATTTTGACTCGCGCGTGCCCACACCAAGCGCGTACACCGCGCATTACGTCAAACAAAGGAAGAGCGCGCATGCGCGGAGGGAAAGGGCTTGGTCTGCGTGATCTAACGGTAGGAGGGTGGTAGGAGCGTGACGTCACCAAGGCAACCAGATGAACGTTTGCACTGTCAGTTCAGGAGCTCAGTTCAGAGTCCGTTCATTAATATTTACAGGCAGTAAAAGCTGAGCAGTCTGCCTGCTTGTCATCTACTGATCATTTACTTGGGGGCTGTTGATCTATATAAAACAAATACATATCTATTGGCCCAGAGAAATGGCAGGTACATTTGTTATATGTTTTTTAGGCTAGGTTCACACCTAGGCAATTGAGCTGTTGTGCGGTTGTTGCAAGATTTTGCTTTGAAAACCCAGCGGTTGTCGCACGGCTTTCAATGCATAGAGATGTCTACGAGACCCAAACCGCACAACAACCGGCCAAAAATAGCTCCTGCACCTTTTTGTGGGACAGGCGATTTCTACCGCGCGACAAATCGATAAGGTGTGAACAGCTTCCATAGACTTGAATGGAAATCTCTGTTTTGTGAACCTAGCCTTAAAGTGACATTAAACCCTCAGATTTTTTAACATAAACCAATACTGTAATGTGTGCCTTACTGTAATCCATGGTAGTTTCCCTTCTCTTTGCTGCTCTTCCTTTTAAATCTGTATCTGTTCTCATGCTGGGCAGAACAGAACTTCTGTTTTGCAGCAGACTGCCTTGTCTCTGAAATGGATACATGGTGTCTGTGTGTAGGTTCACAACCTGAGCCAGCGCACTACAGGAAGAGGCACTCAGCTGCAAAGGGAAGTTCTCCCCAAGAATGAGAAGACATGAGGATTTAAAAGGAAGAGCAGCAAAGAGAAGGGAAACTACCATGGATTACAGTAAGGCGCACATTAAAGTATTGGTTTATGTTAAAAAATCTGAGGGTTTAATGTCACTTTAACAACCACTTACAAAGCCATCCACAACTCCGCCCAGAGGCGTCCCGAGGCTGGGAGACACCCGGAGCGGTAACCTAGTGTCACCCCGCCGAGGCGTCACTGCGCATGCGCGTGACATCACCACGCGCATGCGCGTGACATCTCCACGCGCGTGCGCGATGATGTTATCGCGCACGCGCGGCAGTAATCTGATACCTGCCGGCGGCCATCTTGGTGATGGACGCCGGCGCAGAGAGAGGAGGGGACAGTCACCCGGCGGGATAAGGTATGCCGCTGGGTCCCCTCCTCTCTCCTGATACTGTCGGGCGTTCGGTCCATGACCGTGGATAATATAGAATTCATTATATGTCCTGGTTGTCTAGTTATAGAGAACATTTATTTCATTTGCTGCCCATAGCAACTAGTCGACTGTGTATCAGGGACTTTACTCATCAGCGTTTTTTTAAAAAGGTCTTGGGCTGTCTAATAAATTGTGACCTTTACACTGACAGATACTTGAACATCAATTCCCAAATCTGATGTATATATAAATAAATATATAATATTATTGTATTATTGGTATATGGATTTAATTTTACTCTGTGTGTATGTATGTGTGTGTGTGTATATATATATATATTATCATTATTATTTCTTTTATATTCTGACGACGGCCGCTGTAAAAAAACAACCCAAAAAACAGAAAGGGCACCTCCCTGAAATGAGACGGGAACCTCCCTGAAATAAGGTTTTGTGGATGTCTGTCCTTATATTGTAAAGCGCTGCGCAAACTGTTGGCGCTATATAAATCCTGTATAATAATAATACCCCCGAGGCAGGTCTTAATGCACCTGGACCATTTTTCTCAATGAAGCACACAAATACAATATTTTATACTGTCTCATTCTCAGTAGTAGCAATGTTCTTCATCTCCCTTCATAACCAGAGCTCACATCCCCCTGCCTCATCAGATGTAACCCATGTAATGTGTTATATTGGTTAGCATGCTCCTAGACTGTGGGCCGGTACCTCTCGTTCCGGCCCATAGCCTTCACATATGTCTCTTCTATTTTCCTGAGGTTATCTAAGCTTTGATGCTCAATGGTTCCTTTATATCTACAGAAATGATTGGTGGCTTATACACTGGAACTGCTGGGAACTTGAATGTTACTTCGTTTTACTATAACCTGTCTGTTTATTTCTTCATATGCTTTTTTTTTTCTCTCCAGAGGGATGGCATTATCTTTGTTTAAGCATCATCCAGAGTCTTAAACTGAGCTGCAGCCTTAGGCCGGTTCACACCATAAACAGTGCGTTCCACAGAGCTCAGCCTCTGGAATGCACTGTATAGCATTCCGTCCGGCTTCCTGCGTTCAGGGGCGGGAGGGGGCATGGCGGTGCTTTAAATAAATACACATCATTGCCTGCATTCCGGTCCAGTGCGATCTGAAAAAATGCCACTTAGTATGGTGCAATTTTCACAAGTACTCGTGAAAATGCCCAGTACCGGCACTGATACCAATAATGGTATCGATGCCGATACCGGTAATGGCAGGTGCCTCACTGGTTTGGGGGCGGCGTTTTTTGCTGCCCCCCTGGAAAGTGCCTTGTTTGCCTTGTGGCAGATATACCCCTGAGTACTAAGTACTCTGATGTGAAAAGGGCTCCTGCTGTGAAGGAGGAATGCTGATGTAAAAGGGGGAGACTTTGATTTTAAAGTGGGGCTCTGATGTGAAAGGGGGGGTGCTGATGTGAAGGGGACTCCTAATTTAAAGAGGGCTACTGATGTAAAAGGAAGGGGCTCCTGATTTGAAGGGGACTCCTGATGTGAAGGGGGGGGGTAAAGGGAGGATTCTAATGTGAAAACGGGGACTCAGATGTAAAGGAGGCTCATAATGTGAAAGGGGGACTCGGATGTGAAGGTGGAAAACCCACCATTTTTGTGTGTTTTTGGTGTCCCCCCTTAAAATCTAAACTAGGGGACTGGTTTGGATTTTGGAGGGACCACATGTTGATATTTATGTTTTTACATTTTACACTAGGGTGTTTCAAGATTTTGTATACTTTTAAAGGCCGCAGTGACTGAAAAAAGTTTAAGGAACACTGTTCTAAACCCCCAGTGTTGTTTACCTCTCTGAAGTACCAAATTTTCACAATGATCATAACTATCCTGACCTGTATGCACTCATGCCCAATTTTTACCTGGAGAAGAGATTGGGGAG